TCCAACCGAGCGATTCTGTGTGATTGTGTGAAAATATTTTGGTTTTAGGCTTAATGGGCTTGTTTGAGAAACGCCGGTTCCGGAAATTCCTGGTGTACGTTGCCAACTTCGATGAGAACGACCCCCGAACTTTTGAAGGCGTCGATCCCAAGAAGACCACCATGCGTGACGTGTACAAGAAGTTTGACCTGGGGCAGGATGTTATAGACTTCACGGGCCATGCCCTTGCTCTCTACAGGACCGACGAGTAAGCGTGGCTTCAGTTGCTCCCCGAAATGGGCTGGGGTGCTGGGATACGGTTAATTTAAGTTAATTAAAAGCAACTTGAGAGTAGGAAGCTTGGCAAAGCGTTAATATCTGTGAGTGCTGCATGAATCTTCCAGTATTGGGTCCTCTGCTGATGGGGTGTTTAAAGTTTGTGGGTTCCTGGGGTTAACAAAGCGTCTCCTTCCTTAATAAACCCCCTGTGATGACCTAAAGTGATCCTAAAAGGGAACTTCCAGGGAAATACTTGTTGGGATCAGCCATAGGGTGGGGAAGGAAACTTCAGGGGAAGTAAATGATTTCCTCTGCTGTAATTCTCGGTTTGTAAAATGTTGCAAATCCCTCTCCAGCTATCTAGATCAACCCTGCCAAGAAACAATCAACAGGATTAAGCTCTACAGCGAGTCGCTGGCTCGGTACGGTAAAAGCCCGTACCTTTATCCCCTCTATGGCCTTGGAGAGCTGCCCCAGGGATTTGCAAGGTGAGAACTTGCTTTTTGGACCCCCGGTGTTTGCTCATCCCTGCTTTGATACCTGCTGGGGAGGAGGGGGGGGATTGGTTGTGTGACCTCAACCTTCCAGAATGTGATGCTGCATAAAAATACTGTGGTCATTAATGGTTTCCTCAATATCTTAATCAAGAAATGATTCCTCCGTGTGGGATTTGCTGCTTTCCAGGCTTGTTTAGTGTGATTCCCATTAGTGGTGGTAGTTCTGGGTTGGTTTGGAGACACAGTTTGCAGCTTCTTGTCTATCCAAGAAGTTGCATTTACCTATGGGGTGTAGCCTGCAGCTCTTGAGCTGTAGGACTCTCTGGGTCGCACCGAGGAGATTCTTTCTCACCGGATCTAAATGCATTTATAATTTCCTTTAAATATCAGCAGGAACAAATGGACAGCAGACAGCAGCTGCTGCCTGGATGTATTTTGAAGAGGTTTCAAGCGTGGTTTGTCCAAAAGGAGCAGAAACCAAGGGGCTGGGAGGGCTGTTAAAAACCGAGCGCGCACCCGTGGGCCACGCTGACGTGGTTTTACTCTTGCAGGCTAAGCGCTATCTACGGAGGCACCTACATGCTGAACAAGCCCATCGAAGAGATCGTGATAGAAAACGGCAAAGTGGTTGGCGTGAAGTCGGAAGGGGAGGTACGGTACTTTCAGTTCTTCCCTTGCTCCCCATCCTATGTCCTACCTCTTAAAATCGAGGCTGCTCTGAAGAAACGCAGTCAAAATCCCCTCACCAGAGCTCTAGGACCAAAACTGCTTGGCCGGTGCTGTTTTTCCCCGTGCCGACTCACGCTGATGTCTACTCCAGCAGTTGGGATGAAGCCTCCATGAGGCTGTTTTCTGCTGTTTCGTGAAGAAATCAGCCTGGCTAAACTGGAAAGGAGCTGCTTGCTGGGGTCTGACCTGGGTATGGAAGCAGCTCTGTCCTTGACGTTAAATTTTAGCTGCTCAGAGAGCTGGTATGCGGCAGCTTCTTAACCCTTTTCTCAAACCCTTCTCAAATAAAGCTTAGCGTGAGTCCTGTGAGCTCCTCAGAAGCTATAAATTGTGCTTCCAACTGGAGCAGAGAGCTTTGCAGGACAGTTTAGCACTTGGTGGTGGGGTAACATGTCCCTTCTGGACAGGGGATGATGTGTCCTGGGCAGCAGCATGGTGCTAATCCCTGCTAGAGACTGATGTGCCCAAGTGCAGGCCGGTTGGAGGCTTCAGATTGGCCAAATATTAAACTAAAATACTGTAAAAATGAGTTCTGAAGCAAACTGGACAATTTAGTTCAGCCTTGCCAGCAGCAAATGATGGTCCTAGACTGGGAGGACTGGACTCTGTACTGGTAAGAGCTTGACTTTGTCCTGAATGAAGGGGAAGATGCGATCACGCGGCTCTCTGTAGGC